GGGTTCAAACCCACCAGCTGCTCCACAGAAACAAAATGAGGCTGTCATCTCTCATAAAGATAATCTCGGAAACTCTATATTGAGTCTCTATGAGTCAGAAATGACTCGATGGCCGTGGGTTTGGTATACTAGTATCTAGTATATATATGCAGTATATATAGATTTCTAAATCTACATTTTCCCCCAAAATTGAAGTGGTTTTTTATATGCCATGCACCAAGTTCATCCGAAGGAGACCTCCTGGTGAAGGCCTCATAACCAACCCACTGCCAAGTAGTTAATTTCAACTCATGGCAAACGCCTCTGTGCAGAAGATAACTGTTCCATTAGAGCTTCCAAGACCATGACCTTTCAAAAGATTGCCAGGCCAATCTTGAAGGAAGACACCCTGATGGTACAGTTGGTTGACATGGGTTTGCTTACTTCTTGGCTGCTAACCCAAAAACCACTCCAAAGGAGAAAGATGATGGTATCAGTTCCATAAATATGCATAGTCTCAAAAACTGTAAGGAGCAGTGCTACTCTGTTCTATAGGGTCACTGTGAGTCTTCTCTACAGCAGTGGATGTGTACCTCTAGCTGGGCGTATACTGCCAACGTTTAACCTGATAGTCAAGTGCTTAACCATCGGCTCTACTAAAGGATTTCAAAGACCTCATGGATGCAGCTAAAAGAGAAATACCTTCCTAAAATGTATATTGCATATTGAATTATGGTGTTGGTGAGGAAAATTGAAGTACCATGGACTGCCAAAAGAACAAATAAATCTGTCTTGGAAGAAGTACAGCCATAATGCTCCTTAGAGGCAAGGATGACGAGACTTCATCTTCCATACTTTGGACATGTTGTCAGCAGGGACCAGTCTCTGATACTTGTTAAAGTAGCAGGGTAATGAAATAGAGCATTTGTTCTCAACCTGTGGGTCGCGACCCCTTTGAGGGTCGAATGACCCTTTCACAGGGGTCACCCAATTCATAGCCGTAGCAAAATGACAGTTATGAAGTAGCAACGAAAATAATTTTATAGTTGGGGCGTCACCACAACATGAGGAACTGTATTAAAGGATCATGGCATTAGGAAGGTTGAGAACCACTGAAATAAATAGAGGAAGACCTTTGACAAGCTGGATTGACACAGTCGTGGCATTGATAGGCTTAAACATAAAAACAACTGTGAGGATGGCCCCCATCCGGGCAGTGTATCATTCTGTTGTATATAGACAGGGTCACTATGAGTCGGAACCAAACTGATGTCACCTAACCCATAATACATTTTCTTGTGCTAAAAGGAGCTTTGCTCAACCCCCATCGGAGCCCGGGTTAACTATTCAGACTTTCCATTGAATCTGTACCTAACTCTTATCTTTCATTTTAGTGTGGCCAAAACATCTGGTAATTTGAAGTTTTAGAAAAGTTAGCTTTTAAATGCCACTTCTCTCACTTAGTTGCTCTACAACTGTGAGCAAATCACTTAGCCTCTGTTACTAGGAGGTACCATTGACTCCTTTCCAACTCATAGGGACTTTATATGCAACAGAATGAATATTGCATGATCCTGTGTCAGCCTTACAATTTTTATGTTGAGACTGTTGGTACAGGAACTGTGCAATCCCATCTCATTGAGGGTCTTTTGTATATAAAAATACTGTAACGATAGTGAGACAGTTTATTGTGCCAGCCTGGCCAATAAACACAAGTGGGATTAACTGAAGGGCGGTGAAATAAATGGCTCGATGAGCCTCGCCTTTCTTGTCTCTCGCTCTTTGATCATCGGACCAATGTGCGGCTGCCTTGCTTGTTTTGTGCCTCGATTTACAGGCTATACTACCTATGGGACGCCTAGCCTATGAACTGTGTCGCTGTAGGTTGAGGTCCCTTTAAGACATCTCTGGAGCTGGGGAGTGGTGGTTGGTGACAGTTGGTGACCTGCCTTGTGATTGGCTGCTGTGCTGAGATAGCCTAGCTCTCTCTTAATATAGAGGAAAACCTGGCAGCAGACTAGACTTGAAGGACAGCTAGTGTCTCACAACTCTGTCATGGGAGTGAGTTGCACTGAGTCATTTGTAGTGCTTTATAATTTAACTGTTCATTTCTTGTATTATATATTTATCTGTATATGATTTAACATTTCTTGTTATATATCTAATTATCTTTATAAATAAGTATATTAAATTATCAGCAATTTGGTTTTATCTCTCTAGAGAACCCTGTCTAACACAGATAGCAATCATTTTTTTGATGTACCACACTAAGTAGCACTCAGTTCCTACTATAAACCACTGAATGTACCTTGAATTTTTAATATAATAGGCTTCATGGGAGTGGGGACCACAGGTGTGTATGCAGTTGGATATTGTCAGAACACATTATGTGGTGCTTGACTGTGTAAGCAGAATCATGAGGAGCACATTTTTTAAATGAGAAAAACTTAAGTTTTTAAGTTTTGTACAGGGAAAATGTCAAGTTCCAGAAGTTGCTTTTCTATTCTTCATACGGGTATAATTTTGAAGACAAACTGGATTCTCAAGATAGATCATTTTAAATATAAAAGCTGTGAAAATTATGAAAACCAGGCAGTGGAGTATACTTGTTATACTACACTGATGTGCTACCTTTGAAACATGTTTAAAAGCCTTTGATAAGCTAACCTATGTTAAATGTGTGCAAATATAAATGAGGGCGTTTGGGTCTTCTCTGTAACTAGGATACCATCTTGCCAACTCGTGTTTTATCAGTTACTAACCTGCTTGGAGTGAGGTTAGAAAACCTCATAAATATTAAAGTTGTTTAATAACAAAACCAAAGTTTTAGAACACAATAGAAGGTAATTATTTTTAGCAAATAGATATTATGATAAGTATTGCTGGCAGAGAAGTTAGCAGTGCTTAATATCAACAAGTTCAGCTTTTAAAAAAATCTAATCCCATGTACCTCCAAATTAATGTTTACAATTAATATCTTTAAATGTGTTAATTTTCTCCTATTAAGTTTTGTTAATAAGCCCTTTCTCTTCCTAGAAAACTATTTTAAGTTCAAGAAACTTATGTTGCTGGTAGTTGGATTATTTTCTACCATATTAAGTAAGGAAAGTGAATTAAATATGCTGCTTTTGTATCTTTGTATTTATTCTCGCATCCAAAGACACTCCTTCCTTCCATGAGGAGAATCTTAGGTCTACTGTGTTACTTTAACAGATTGTAAGCATTTGAAATGAATAAGAGATCACAGTGGGTAGAAAATAGTGGCAACTAAAATCTAAGAAATATTTATGTATGTAGTATTTAATAATGTATCCTCAAGTAGCAAATTTACTTATAATTACAGGCAATTTTTTAAAATTGATTAACTTTGAGCAAAGGAAAAAATGCTTAACTTTTTACTTATATGAAATAATGTCTATTGTTCCTTTGGTCTATTATTGATAGATTATGATATCCTGGATATATTCTTGATCTGCCCTTCTTTAACATATACTGAAACTCCTCAAATGGTTGGCTGGAAGTCATTTCAAACTCTAGGACCTGACCAGATTTTACCTCCTATGCAAAGCTATGGAAAACATACAGGAATTGAGTCTCCTGTGTTTGGACAGCAGCACTGCATTCTGAACGTTGAACTAGCCTCCGGGAATATTACTATTTATAAACACATTTCCTCATTCTTGAGAATGAAAAACTGCCCATGTAACCCATGGTATTTTTAATTGACAGTCAAGTTACTAAAGCAGTGAATGGAAGGATAAAAGAAAGAGAGAGGAAGGGGAGGAGGGAGGGAAGAAGGAAGAAGGCAGGCCAAGTTACCCACAGGAGAAATAATCATCCCATTTTTTAAAAATCCTCCATTATCTTTAGCCATGTTTGTTTTTGCATAAAATAGCATTCTCCTCTCTTGGTTTTCTTTGTCTCTGTTAACTAGGTACTTTGGACTAGCTGTGGCTGCTTAACGAAGACTTTATAGCGTTGTACCTATTTTAAACCACTTACCATTGGTTTTGTACATTAAACAGCCTGCCATATTTCCTACCTTATTATTCTTTAATGTTACATGTCTGCTTCAAATTGTATTTTGTTCTTTCTTTAGAACATTCTTCTGACTGTATGATTGCCCTACTTAGAACCACAGTTAAACAAATACTCATTCTTTAACATCTCCCACAGCTTTTACAGCATTAGGCACTTAAAATGTCTCTGGAAGAGCTATGCTTCAGAGCCTTATTATCATGTTATTAAATGTTAAGCCAAAGCACACAGGTTGTCCATTATGCAAAACCTTAAACTCTGTTAACATAAAGTAGATTTTCTTCACTCTAGCTAAATTTTCTTTGAAATATCTCATAGCATTTATAAAATGTTTTAAAATAGGAACCTTCATGCTAATATCCATGTGGGAAATGATTTAGATAATCCTCTTAAACCCATACATTTTAATATTTTATTTTTTTAAACAAAGGAAGTGGGTAAATAGTGAATGTAGTGAGAATCATACTCTGTCTTCATTTGTCTTAAAAGATCTCATTTTTAAATTACTACTATTTTATTATTTGTCCTAAGAAAATTAAAACTTTGATGGAAGATTAAACTCAGGTGATCAGGACATTGATTCAGGTGTATTTGGCATAGGCAGTTCATTAACTATGTGTTAATTATCTATGATTACTCCTGAAAAGCTATAGTGGCTTCATCTTTAAGGTTGCTTCATTAGATCATTAATTTTCTTGGCGGTAACTGAGCCTGACATAATTAAGTCATCTCAGTCTCCAAAGACTTGATCTTCCTGTGATGTCCAGAACATTAGTGAGTATAAAGCTTATGTGAATTATTCCCTGGATGTATTGACTTTATATTTTTGAACAATTAAGTACTGTTCAAAACATCTAATTTTTTGTATTTAAGTAATCTAATAACTATGTACCTTCAAATTATTTACTTAATGTATTACCTTTGATTTTGTATTTCCTGTGAAATTAGTCCATTTATCTATTTGAACTATTTCTTACCAACAGTTATCTGACCCATGGCTACCTAAAGCTACTTCAGTTCATTCAGAGCATCATTTATGAGGATGGATTTGATGGAACCAATCCCCAGGTATTGAATACCTTCAAAGCTGTTTTCAATCGGGTATAATCGTGTATATAATGTTTCTTTCAGACTATCTAGGGGTGAACCCAGAAGGTCTTAGGATAATCAACAGTTTCCAAGCACTGAAGAGATAGATAATCAGAGAGTATGGGCGGCCTTAGTTCTACTATTAATGTGAATATAAAGTTTTAGCAGTTTCCAGTGAATACACATAACATGGGCACATTGCACTATCAACATTGATTATATTCAATTATTTATTTATGGCACTCCAAGTTTGAATGCTGCCACGTTTTGAAAATTATTTTTGAATCAGCAAGAATTGTGCTTTCCTGGCTAAATTGTTCATGGCGCTCTTATTCAGGACTTGATTTCAAATTACCTTATGAGTAAAATTGACTTCAGATTTTATTTCTTATAGTGTTATCCTTTGAGTTATTTCATTTATTAAGGTGTGGTTTTATTTCCTATGTTAAAATATTTTATAACAACTATTTCTCTGTAGAGCTCTATTTTTAAAAACTTCCTCCAAATTCTCACCATTAAGATGTTCCAGTTAGTTTAAGTTAAACAAAATGAGGGAAATCTTATTTCTAGCTATTATAGCTTACAGAATTCTTCCTTGAGGATTTTAATTGCTTTATCAGATAAAAAATTTGCATTGCACTCATATTAGCAGAAATATTTCTAGAGCACCATTATTTTTATTAAAGAAGACAATGAAGTCAAAGGATCATCGTTAGGTCATTATCAGCTCTATCTGCTCTTAATTCACAGATTTAAAAATATTGCTTTAAACTTTATTGCTATGCTTAGCACATTATTAACAGCAAAATAAATTATTTGAAATTCATTTTGTTCATCAATGTAATAGTAGGTTGAAAATACTTATGTGTGTGTGGTGAAGCAAAGGCTTTTATTTATAAATCATATTTCATATGGGTCACAGTTTGTGATGGCCTTTGGTATTAGTATAATTTTATGTTGTTCATTCTTGCTCCATTTTGGGTTCCAGCTAAGATCTGTGGGTATCATGTCTTCCCTTTGGTGCAGTGCCTGTCTAGAGAGGTAAATTGGTCCCTGACAGACACCTCTTCCCCACTTGCTGTGGTAGCCATGGAAACAGGCATGTCATAACAGTTCCTGTGGTACAGTGTGCAGAGTGCTGCTCTTTCAGGATGATGACATATCTTGTGAGGGGAAGAAATGTTATAGAATGCAATGAAAGCAAGGGAAACAGCAAAGCAATACATCACAAACCCCCTAAGAACTCTTAATAAATGATTATTGAAAAGGAATGAAATTTTCTTTTCCTTTTCATTTGGGTATAAACAATACTATTTTCAGGAATTACTTTTTTTTCTTAATGAAAATTGGTAGGCAATAAACTGGAGCTGTTTTGGCTCTCTGAACCAAGGATCCTATTACTATTTTCTCTTGTAAAGACAGGATTGAGGTGGGCATTTTGATGATAAATACCATGAATACTTAAAAAACTGAAATTAAGTTAAAATGTGCCACTCATTATAAAAATTAACTCCTAATTTGACTGTAACTGAAGTATAGTTAATAGATTTCTATATATCATTAACTTAAAATAATTGTATGACTTGATAAATTATCTACTTAGTATGTCTGCTCAAAAAGGAGTCCTGGTGGCATGGTGGGTTATGCACTGGGCTGCTAACCTCAAGGTCAGCAGCTCAAAACCACCCGCCGCTCCACAAGAGTAGGATGAGACATTTTCTACTCAAAGAGTTACAGTCTTGGAAACCCACGGGCGCAGTTCTGCTGCCCTACAGGGTCACTCTGAGTTGGAATGAATTAGATGGCGGTGGGTTTATTTTTTAGAGTATGCTTGCTTACAAACTGTAGTGAGCTTGGGCAAAACCCAGAAATGTGTCTGTCACATACTACTTCCAAAAATAGCATACCTGAGTCAAAATAATCTTCTGACTTTCAAATAAATACTTTTTAAAAAGAAAATCCCATCTTATCTTCTCTATCATGCCATTTTCATATAAACCGTATTATATCATGCCATTTTCATATGAACCATATTATACATATAAAAATAGACTCAGAAACAGTAGCAATCTATTTTTATACTGCTTATAATTAATTTCCATAATAAATAAAATAGTATATCTCATTTGTAAAGATATTTAGAGTAGAAACCTAAATTGCTGTTATATAAGGCTGGATCTCTAGAGAAGCAAAGCCAGGGAGATGGGACGGGAGAGAGAGAGAGTGAGAGAGAATTTTCTTTTATCAAGAAAATGGCTCATACAATTGTAGAAGTGGATAAGTCCTGTCCCATTCAAATCTGTGGGTCAAATGTTAAATTGGAGGCATCTCCTGACTCATATAGCTATGGGTGCTGATGAACTAGGAAGCAGGAAGACCACAGGCTGTTGGATGCAGAGGAGGGATAAATCTAAGGCTAGCAGACTAGACTAGAACAACTAGAGAAGTTTGAAAATTTTTATAATAAAAAAAAAATCAAAGCAATCACTAATTAATTCACATCCTTTCCTTGTGGTAAAAGAACACCGTAAGAGCTCTAGGATACACTTAACCACTATAAGATATGCGTTGTAGTTAGGTGCCTTCGAATCTGTTCTAACTGATCGCATGCACAATGGAAGAAAGCCTTGCCTGATCCTGTGCCATCCTTACAGTCATTGGTATGTTTCAGCCCTGGTGGTGGCCACTGTGTCAGTATGTCTTGTCAAGGGTTTTTCCTCTCTTTATCTGACTATCTACTTTCACAAGAGATTAGAACTCTTAAGCACTGTTGGTGGAATTGTAAAATGGTACAATCTTGATAGAGAATGATATGGCCCAGCCCAAAAAAGCTAAAAATAGAAATACCTGTGACACATCACTTAGACTCCTAGGTATATATCCAAGATATACATGAGCTGTTGTTGTTGCTGCTAGCTACCATCAAGTGAGCTTTGACTCATAGTGGCCCCAGGCACAACAGAAGGAAATGCTGCATGGTCTTATGGCCGTCCGCACAATTGTCCCTATGCTTGAGCCCGTTGATGCAGTCACTGTGACAGTCCGTCTCTGGAAGGTCTTCCTCTTTTTCACAGCCCCTCCACTTTACTGAGCATGATGTCCCTCTCCAGGGACTGGCCTCTCCTGAAAATATGCCCAAGTATGTAAGACACAATCTTCCCATCTTACCTCTAAGGAGCACTATTAATGTACTTCTTCCAACTTAGATCGGTTTGTCCTTTTAACAGTCCATGATACTTTCAATATTCTTCTTCAATGTCCAGTTTTCACATGCATATAATGCAATGGGGAATACCATGGGTTGGGCCAGGTACACCTTAATCCTCAATGTAACACCCTTACTCTTCAATACTCTTAAAAGGTCTGGTGCAGCAGATTTACCCAATGCAATGTTATATTAGTATGAGTTAATTTTGTTGCAAAATTTTTATAAGATCCATTTTTAATAATAATGCATTTTCATGAACTTTTTGAAGACTGTCCCTATATGTGACTACAGATAACCTGTATATGCACTTCCATTTATTAATATATGACTTTCTATACTCATATATACATGCATATATACCTACACACATATTTTTGGTTATTAGTGCTGCTAAAAATTATGTTATAACATTTACCAAAATTGTTAATCTTTCTTGTGTACTTTTAGTGTCTCCATTTACCTTGGTAAAGTGGTACAAGCATCACCCCAAACTGGTATTGCCCTTCCCATCACCAAAATGTTGACCTCTGTCTATATTGAATCTTGACTTTTTATAATAGCTAGACCGTGTATTATTTGTCCTTTCATGATTGATTATTTCACTCAGCAAAATATCAGCCGGATCCATCCTTGGTATAAGCTGTTTCCTGGACTCATTATTTTTTATAGTTTTGTAGTATTTACTGTATATCTATATACCAAAATCTGTTTATCCATTCATCTCTTTCCATCTTTTGCTACTCTGAATAATGCTCCATTGAAATAGGTGTGCATATGCCTATTACTCCCATGACTCACAGCTGAAATTGAAAGAACTCAAGAAAAAAGCTAAACATTGAATTGCCATCTTGAAAGAATCTACAGGCAAAAAATATATATATTTATATATATATATATAAATTTCAATAAATCATTTTATTGGGGGCACTTATAGTTCTTATAACAATCCATATGTCAATTGTATCAAGCACATTTGTACATACCTGAACAAAATCCAATTGAGGCAATAAAAGGATAAGACATCAGCTTGTAAAGAACCCTTTAAGAGAAATATTAATTCTGCTAAAATTGAAGCAAAAACAAACAAAATTTATGGTGAAGCTTCAAAATAGTGAGATCCTTGATACCAAAAGACTCACTTGCTATCTAGTCAATTCTGCCTCATGGTGACCCTATAGGGCAGGGTAGAACTACCCCTGTGGGTTTCCCAGACTTTAACTCTTTCTGGGAGTAGAAAATCTCATCTTTCTCCTGCAGAGTAGCTGGTGGTTTTGAACTGCTGCCTTTCCGGTTAGCAGGCCAGTGTGTAATCACTACAGCACAAAGGCTCCTGAAATTCTTGATGCTTCATGAAATATTTATGGGGATGATGAATCAAGAAGTCAGTCTTTTACAAATGGATAGCTTGTCTTAAGAAAGGATGAGGTAATGTTGAAGGTGTTCATGTTGAAAAAATAAAACTTATATATACATCAAAAGCAAGGAAGTTGCTTTGAGGACTAAGGTGTTCCTGACCCAAGCCACGGTATTTTCACTCACCTCATATGCATGTGAAAGTTGGACAATGACAAAGGAAGCCCAAAGAAGAATTGTGGTGCTGGTGAAGAATATTCATAGTCCCGTGGACTGCCAGAAGAACAAACAAATCTGTCTTGGAAGAAGCACAGCCAGAATGCTCCTTAGAAGAAAGAATAGTGAGATGTTATCTCACATACTTTGGATAATGGTCCCTGGAAAAGTAGCTTATGATTGGTAAGGTAGAGGAGATGGTGAGAAAAGCAAAACCGTGGACAAGATGGACTGACACGGTGGCTGTGACGATGGGCTCAAACATAAAAACAATCGAGACGAAGGGGCAGGAGTAGGCAGTGTTTTGTTCTGTTGCATATCGCGGTGCTATAAGGCAGCATGGACTCAATAGCGCCTAACCACTTCATTTTGCTTTAAGTTTTATTTTTTAATCCATTTTCCATGAACTTCTTGCCCCACCTCATATGTACTTTTGTGTTTACTGCTGAGTAATTTATTGTGCCAACCTGGCCGAAAAACATGTGGTATTAATTGAACAGCAGAGGATAAATGGCTCTGTGAGCCTCGCCTTTCTAGTTCTCGGGTCTGTTGCTTTGTGATGGTCGTACCAGAGTGCAGCTGCCTTAGCAGTTCCCTGCTTCAACTGGCAAGACTGACTTCCTGCAAGACATCCCCGAGGAGAAGCCACGTGGACCTACCCCGATGCAGCCCTGGGTGCTGGAGCACCCGCGTGGAGACCCCTGCCAGCTCAGAGATGCTTACATATTGACTGACTCAGCTTTCCTCCTGTAGTCAGCATCATAGTATGTGTTTTGTGAGATGGAGGAGGACTTTGTGGATTGGTATCGGACATATGGGTTAATGTTGGACTTGTGGGTTTGGGCAGCACTGGGTTGGGATGTTTTCTTGATACACTTAATCTATATATAAAACTCTCTCTTATACATGAGTTTCTGTGGATTTGTTTCTCTAAAGTACCCAGACTAATACAACTGCTTACACAAAGGATCTTCAGAAACTTCATACAGAAATTATACTATCTTTTAATTCCATTTATCTTTTAACGTTCTGAAGACTACCCCCATATATCCAAAGATATAATAAATAGATGATCTGTATAATAATATATATTATTATATAGACATATAATAACTGATATATAATATATAATAAAGGACAGCAGGAGATACAGTTTATGAAAACTTCCTAGACATTTTTGCCATTTAAAACATAGGCTTTCTGTTGGCTTTTTATAAATGTACATAAAACTTTTTACCATGTCTGTTGATGTTATCTCATTGATCTAATATAAATAAAAATAAGACTTGGCAGATAAAAGTAAAAGAAGTGTCCTTTTCATTCACAAAACTTCATGTTTACTCCTTATTTTCCTTTAGAAAAAACAGAAAAACATTTTAAGAATAGGAATTCAGAATCTTGGTTCACCTCTGTGGGGAGATGACATCTGCTGTACAGAAAACTGTGACAACAATCACAATCTTACCAAATTCCTTTATGTCCTCCGTGGTCTTCTGCGGAACTCCCTTTCAGCCTGTATCATCACAGTGCCGTCACATCTCATCCAGGTAAGAATGCTCTAAAACTGCCTGCACTTACTTAGGAATACTTATGGAAGAATAGTTTATTTATTGAAAATCTGATCAGTTCTTTTCATATACCATTTCAATACAAGAGATTTCAGATGCTTGAAATGCCATAGGAAAAGAAAAAAATAAAAAAGATTTGATTATTTAATGTTTGTGTTCTGGATTTTTAATATATAGTGAATGCATGCAAAGTCGATTCTGATTTTATTATTTTGGTTTCTTGTGGACTTGCTATGATCATTATGATGTGAGGTTTATTTTTGCTGTGATCTATTTTCATTGATCATAAAGCCGATCTGAATATGCCAAGTCCTCTTATCCCCTCTCTGCTTCTAAATATCATCCTCCAGAAGCCACACGCAGTGCCTTACACATAAACCCAAAAGAGTCCTTTTGTTACAAGTGTTCAAGGAGCAGGCTGGGAGTATTTTTATTATTACTGTTATTTTTCAGGTAACAGAGTATCATGAGTATTGTATGAATATTACTCATGTATTATACATACATATGAAGACACATATATATCACAATAATATAAATAATTTAACAAAAAAATCTACAACAGGAGCCCAGATAAATTCCCTGAGTCTGGGTCAAGAAGACCTTGTAGGATTTTGGTGAAATACTGTGATTATCTTTATCGAAAAGAAAACTCATTTTCAGAGAGGTTAAGAAACTAACTCAAGGTTCCACACCCGAAAGCTGTTTTTTAAACTAAAAAAATCAGGCTCTAAAGTCATATAATTGGAATGCTGTACTAGAAAAGGCTAACAAGTTTTTATTCTGGAACTAATTCTATCAAAACTAATAAATCTCAAATATTTAATAATAGAGTCAGAAAGGACAGGAAGGGATCATGTGATCAGGGCTCCTGCTTTGAACAAGTAAATGATCTCTGTTTTTGCAACAGAGTCTGGAATTAAAATGACAGACTAAAAAAATGATGGCATGACAATGTTCGTTTAAATATTTAATAGAAATATAATCAATGTAGTTGAAATTTGGAGTTCTCTAAGGAAATAATGAGCTGTGGTTTAAGATGCTTTGCCTAAATAATCTTTCCAAGAGGTAAAGTTCAAAACTTTTGTTTAAGTGTTACATTTATGAAACACCAAAATCTTCCAACCTCCAGAAAAAGAATTTTGGGTTTGCTTCATAAATACCTTTAACAAAAAGCCATTATTATCTTCCGTATAGCTACGATCTTTCATTCAAAATGGTACGATTAGTGAAGTTAATGCCATATTCCTTCTTTCCCAAGTGGAAAGAAATGGGCAGTATATGCTTATACAGTTAGCACATTGCTATGTGCTGTTCAAATCACCTTTCCTCTTAAATAATTTCAAATTTTAAACAAAATGGAAATTAGATCTTTACAGGAGGAAAATTATATTTCGAATCAATCTGAGCCCTTTCTTTTTAATCGTTTTATTAGGGGCCCATACAACTCATCACAATCCATACATACATCAATTGTGTAAAGCACATTTGTACATTCATTGCCCTCATCATTCTCAGAACATTTGCTCTCCACTTAAGCCCCTGGCATCAGCTCCTCATTTATTCCCCCTCCCTCCCCGCTACCTCCTCCCTCATGAACCCTTGATAATTTATAAATTATTATTTTGTCATATCTTGCTCTGTCCGACGTCTCCCTTCACCCACTTTTCTGTTGTCCATCCCCCAAGGAGGAGGTCACATGTAGATCCTTGTAATCAGTTTCCCCTTTCCAACCCACCCTCCCTCTACACTCCCAGTATTGCCACTCACACCACTGGTCCTGAAGGGATCATGCACCCTGGATTCCCTGTGTTTCCAGTTCCTATCTGTCCCAGAGTACATCCTCTGGTCTAGCCAGACTTGCAAGGTAGAATTCGGGTCATGATAGTGGGGGGGCAAGGAAGCATTTAGGAACCAGAGGAAAGTTGTGTTTTTCATCATTGCTACATCGCACCCTGACTGAGCCCTTTCAATGAATCGAAAAAGTTCTTGTAAATGTAGTTATTAAGACACTCATTTATTATCTTGGATCACATACGTTTTTTTTGTAACTTAGGTAGAGGATTACATTTCACCTCATTAACTTTGTATTCCACTGTCTGAACTACTAACCAAACCCCCCTTCAGCTTACCTCTCCCTGTTCTTAGATTTCCCTCCTCCTGTGGCTCATCATCTTCCTTGTCAACTGAGTCAACACTCTTCAACCGTGTCACTCACAGCTTTATCCTCCCTTCCTTGCCCTCCCTGCTCTGGCAGACTCCATAGTCTGTATGGTATGACCGTCTTTATAACAAGCTAGCTTTTTCTCCCCTGTAAAACAGTGGTCTCATACAATATTCATCCTTTGCTTCATGCAACAAAGTGTTCTCCAGGTCCGTCCACATCATGAGGTGCTTCGTGGTTGTGTCAGTTGTTTTATAGGGGTGCTTAGCATTCCACTGTGTGTATGTACCAAAGTTGTTTTTCCATTCTTCCGCTGATGGGCCTTTAAAATATTTCCATCTTCTTGCTATTGTGAACAGTGCTGCATTGAACATTGGTGTGGCTATGTCTGTTCATATTCTGATTCTTCTTTAGGATATATACCCAGCAGAAAGATTGCTGAATTGTATGGAATTTCTATTTCCAGTTGTTTGTGGTAATGCCATATAATTCTCCACAGAAGTTGTATATACCTGCAATACCACTACCTCTGATGAGCCTAACTTTCCATTAAGAAAAAAATCATTCTTGAAAAAAAAAACCTTAAAAGATAGTGCCAGTATAACATTGCTATTATTCAACATTTTAAAGAAAAACTTATCTCTGTAAAATCATTGGCACATCAGTGCATGTGAAAGGTTAGGCAGAAAATGTCAAGAAAAAGAGAGAAGCATGTTTTCCTTGGGCACAATAGCAAAGCAAAGGAAAAAGTTCTGGAATAAACATATTTGTGTGTATATAAAGCACACTCCAGTGCTTTTTTTTTTTCAATGTGCTCCAGTGGGACCTTTGGAGGGAAAATAAAACATTTATAAAGTTACTGCTTTGGTGGTAATCATCACAATTGATTAGAGAAGAGATCCTAAACACTTTGTGTCTCTGCCAGGGATTGCTCCAGCCTCTGTGGCTGGAATAGCAATGAACTACCAGATAGCCTAGAGTCAGCCCATCTACACCACTGAGTAAATAGTAATTGAGACGATGTGGTGAACTGGATGCTTGAACATTGAACAATATTTGAATTTTAGTACTTTTATATTATAGTTTAAATTTATACATTTTAATATGCCACTGGGGGGGGGGGAAGAAAATACAGGGCCAGACTTTCTTTTTTTTTAATAATAAATCCTTTTATTGGGGGCTCTTACAGCTCTTATAACAATCCACACATCAAATTGTATCAACACATTTGTACATAGGTTGCCATCATCATTTTCAAAAATGTTCTTTCTGATTGAGCCCTTGGTATCAGCTCCTCTTTTTTCCCTCCCTCCCCAACTCTCCTACCCTCATAGACCCCTGATAAATTATAAATTGTTATTATTTTCATATCTTACACCATCCACTGTCTCCCTTCACTCACATTTTTTGTTGGTTGTCCCCCAGGAGTGGGGGATGGGGCATATGTCGATCATTGTAGTCTGTTTCTCATTTCTCTCCCTTCTTCCCCCTACCCTCATGGTATGACTACTCCCATTTCTGTTCCTAAGGGGTTTATCTATCCTGGATTCCATGTGTCCAGAGCTCTTATCTGTACCAGTGTGCATGTTCCAATCTAGCCATATTTGTAAGGTAGAACTGAGGTCATGATAGTGGCGGGGAAGAAGCATTAAAGAACTAGAGGAATGTCATGATTGTTGTTGGTACTATGCTGTATACCCTGGCTAACTCATTCTTTCCTTGTGACCCTTCTGTGAGGGAATGCCCAATTGTCTACAGAAGGGCATTGGGTCTCCACTCCGACCCCCATCCTTTGCATCAATATATTTGTTTTTGGGGGTCTTCTGTTGTTTCTTTGGCTTGCTGAAATATTTCAATAGGTATTCCATCTTGATTTTGGGTAATGCATTCAGCACCGTCATATGCTACCTCTTGAAATGATGGAATGTCAACTAGATCTTTTTGTTACAATGACTCGGTGTATGCTTTCCATCTTTTCTTGATGCTTCCTGAATCATTCAATATTTTGCCTATACATGTACATATGTAAATAAAATAATATATAGCAACAGGGATATAGGTCTATGTACATGTATTTATAGGTTAAGTATTAAGGTAGCAGACAGACATTGGGCTTCTACTGAAGTCCTTCTTCAATGCAAGAATACTTTGTTCTAATAGCATGGCATTCTGTGATGCTCTCATTTCTGACACGATTGCTGAAGTCAAAACGAGTGCATAAGCAATGTGGTGAAGAAAGCTGATGGTGCCCGGCTATCAAAAGACTATGGTTTTCAAAACTGAACAACCACTAAATTTTTTCTGTATTCCTATGCCCTAGGCAGTTTTGCATGGCTATCATATATAATAATACGTCATTGTTATAATTTGAGGAGCCCTGATGGCATAGAGGTTATGAATTGTGTTGCTAACCACAAGGTCAGCCGTTTGAAACCCCAAACCAGCCTATAGAAAGATGAGGTTTTGTATTCCCCTAAAGAAGAGTCAGTCTGAGAAACTCACAGCTGCAGTTCTACCCTGCCCGACAGAGTTGCTATGAGTCAGAATTGACTTGATGACAGTGAGTTTAGTTTTGGTTTGGTTTTCATTTGAGCTTTAAGAAAATTATATTATTCTCTTGCTCTTGGCATATGATATATAATGATATATTTGTTGCTGCATCATAACATGTAGGCAATGGGATCACAGTCTTGGGTGAGGACAGATTAGTTAGTTGGTATAATATACAAAGATAATGTTCTGCATTCCGGTTTGGTGGGTAGCATCTGGGCTGTTAAAAGCTTGTGAGGGGCCATCTAAGAGACAACTTTTTATG